CATCTTTTTATTCTAAAAACTCAAAGTTCCTGTGCGAGCCACAATTGAAGTAAGTAATTCACTGGCTCATTTTAACCTGCTAGTTTCACCAATTTTAATCCCCTGTGTTTCAGGTTACCGGCCGCTTCCCCTGCATCCGATGTACCCAAAGCGCTCCCAGTGGAAACCTTAGCCAGTCGCAGCGAATCAAACGCTGCGGAGTTACCGCCTCACATCGATCCAACCAACGCTCTGGCTCGTACCTACGATCAGTTTAGCCAATACCCTCCACCACCGCAGCAGTACATGCGTGGCCAGCCACAACTGAACTACCCCCAACCCCCCTACGGTGCACCGCAAGCATTTTACGGACCGTGGATGAACGCGGAGAACTACGTCAACCCACTGCCAGTGGTGTATGAGCCGCTGAATCCCAGGCAGTTCTCCATCCCACCCTTTATTCCAGGCGTTCTGGGACAAGCCTTTGCCTGCCCGTCTACCACAAACGCCATTGGTCTCTCTCGTCTGGCCTATGCACGCATATACTCCTCCGGTGAGTTTATCGCTTAAATTCATAGAGAAGACCCTTGTCGCTACGATCTTCAGGCCCGGTTCCGTAGGGGAAACGACGAAGTGAGACGCCAGATAGGGGAATTATGTATTCTATACAGAGGTAGTAGAGAATAGATTGGGGGAACTTGACTGTTGGTCGAGTGTACAACCACTCGCGAGAGAACTGTTGTCCGAAGTGCATGAGTTTGGCAAGCATAACATCGTCTATAAAGCAGTGTTTGTGTGAGTCGGCCTTGAAGGTGATTGACCAGACGGATTGCGGTTGGCCTACAAGTATGAACGTGTAATTGCCGGGAGAGGAAAGAAGTTGAGGGTTGGCACAGTTTGCGCCTCCTGTGATTGGCTCTCCCAGAGACGGGCTGAGAAGTGCAACCACGTCACCTCATGCGTAGCGACGCGTCGAAAGTCGAAGGCGCTACAGGGTCAATGCAAGTCACTCGTGGCTCATAAACTGTAGACTGGTCTGATCGGAGGGTTTACACGGGGGGCAGCGGCCAGGGAGACGGGAGTAACGAATAATAACTTAAAGTGGATTCTCTATCTCATGAAATCTCAACCGAAATTCTGAAATGTATTTTTGTTTCGCAAGGATTGCTTAAACCGGCTTATCATACAGCCTACTCGCAAGATATATTGGTCACGACAGATTGCCGGCTTTTG